GTCAGACGCTGCTCGAGCCGACAAAGTGTCCACAGCTGGTGGTCAGACAGCAACCCGCTGCGAGTCGGGGCGACCATCCCCCTGCACACACTTGCGAAGCCGTTGATGAAGGAAATGTACCACCGGCAGGCGCTGAGTTTCATCGCCGAGCGCGCGCTGGCGCCTCTGTCCGCGGAGTTCGTTGACATACTTGTAACGTATCTGGTGTGCGTATCCATGGGCACCGGCCAGCTTGAGACTCGGCGGCGCTAATGGGAATCCAGATACAAAGACATCTTCCCGTCGACGCGGGCCCTCGTGCTCGCGTATCTCGACTTCCGCGCGCGCGAATCGGAGGCGGAAGCGCAGATGGTGGTCGATGGATGTGTCCTTGACTGCGCCGTTGAGCTGCTCAAGTCGTCGCACCCCGGTGTCCTGCGCCGCAGCTGCAGCATCCTGGAGGGGATCGCTCGTCATCACTCATTGAAGAGGGATGTGATTGAGCTACAGTCGCACTTGCGACTCAGCCCGTTGCTTATGTTGGTGTAACTATCCATTCATTACTTGGTGCGACTGAATACCGTGATCAGCCATAAAAGCAAACTCGTGCGGGAGGCGTCGTTTGAAGCACTGAATCAGATCAGCTGCGACGGGAGCGAGGACGAAAACACGATTCAAGTCCTCATCACGACAGAAGTCACAGTCGAAGAGGATGAGGAAATTGTTGAAATCACAGTTGATGATGAGATATAGGTGTTTATAGTATCTACCTAGATACATGTCACGATCATATATACGGAACATGGCTTATGGCGGGCGCGACAAATCCATCCGTTACAAATTAAAATAGCAATTTCAAGAACATTGAGAAATCAAAATCGTCAACGGCTCTTAGTCACCAAAAATCGAGCCATGTACGTGATTCATGTGGCTGTAAATCACGTTTGACGAGAACTCTTTGCCGCAGGCATAGCAAAAATGTGTTCCACAAATGCAAGACATGTGATTGCAGCCCGCGATCTAAAATAAGTAGAATACCGGGTCAGCTCTGAAAAAATCGCACTGCATGAAGGAGCGGCTTACCTTCTGAATCGGAATCCCACACCGCTCATTGGGGCAGTTAACATGGAGACTTTCCGTGGCACTACAGGCAACGCAGCGAAAAAAGAATCCCGGCGGAATGGTTTCCTCTGGTTTGCTGCGTTTGTACGCCCGCTTCCGCACTCCACAATCGGCGCACTCCGCGTAGAGGAAACTGTAGTCTTCATTTGATTCTTGCATCCTGGCCATAAAGCTATCGCGGCATTCGATGCAACGGAAATCGACTGTCGGCGGTAGACTTGCCTCCATGCAGCAGGTGCGTTCATACGCCTGCTTTGCGCATGCACAATCGGTGCACCAAGCGTATAGGAAACGCCGGTCGTCTAATGCTGCCTGAAGCCCTCCCAGAACGACAACGCGCGGGTTGTAACGCGCCAGGGTCTTGACGGTGGGCTTCCGTCGGCAAAATGGACACGTCAACTGCATCATGTTGAGAAGTTTTCCCGGCTCGTTTCGGCCGTACTAGATGTATCAAACAAATGCAGCGTGAGTCGTGCAAATTGAGGGAATTATGGGCATACCCATTCTTGAAGGCATCCTTCGTCGACGAGCTGGTTGCACCCGGTACGCCCACAAGCTGCCAACAGTTTGCTTCTGGGCATTTCGTCGAAGCATAGAGCGCAGGTCGCCAGCGCTACCTCGCCTCTCCCGACCCTGGCCTCAATTTCTCCGAGAGTCGACCCTGTGTCGCATACGGTCTTTCCGTCAAGAAGTAATCGGGGAGCGTGCTCCGATGGGGCGCGCCCAAACACATCTTCGCCGAACGCCTGCATCAACTTGAACGCCGACTTGCCGTCAAAGATGCAGCTAGCAACGGCGTTGTTGAACCCGAGCCACACGACGCCATTCGCTTTGTTGAGCGCGCGAACCGTGGTCTCTTCCGAGACGATGCACTCTCTGCCCCAGTTGGGATTCACGCACGCGGGGCATGAGTATTTCCGCGTGTCGACGGTGCGTCGGAACATCGGAGAGACGATGATACGGTTCTTACAAACAGAACATTCGATCCAAGGGCATGGGAGTTTGTTCCGGCAGTAGTGGCAGCGAGGTCTAATCTGCGACCCGTCAATATTGTGGTGTGGAAAATTTGCGGATGGTCACCTTGAGCATATCCGGGTTTTCAACAACATATTGGGCGCGGCATTTCGTGGACGAGCACTCAACCCAGCAGCTTTGTTCCTGAGGTCGCGTGAGGAGCAAGGCCTGAGACATATGGAACAGGAGCTACCTCGTCCACTTCTGGGAACTGCTCTGCTATCTTAATGAGGGAGAGATCATGGCTGACACAAATTCCACACATGTGGTACTTGTGACTCATGATTGTGATGCTTCGCCTACCAATGAGTCGTTAGTAATCCAATCCAACGACTCCCCTCGCCTGCCACGCACCGCATAAGGCACTTCGTGCACTGAACCTTCACGTCGCCGGGCCCTCGCGTCTTCTGCGGCGTCCACGGGACGCGCACGTTGACGGGCGCATCAAGGTTCAGCTCAAGCAGCCTGTACCGCCGCATCGCCTCGTAAACGCGTTTCTCCCGGGCAGTGAGCACGACGCCTTCAGGTGCGGAGAGAAGGAAGCGCGCGCATTCGAAGCTGATGTTCTCCGGCACGTCTAAGTCCAACCACTTTCCCTTCACAGTAGCTAACAGCGCAGTAGCCGACCCCTTGAGGAAGGGCACGCCGGTGACTAGTGCTACCACAGCGGTCAGTGCGGCGGCGCGAGGCGCGTACAGGGTCCCAGGAATGATGAGGTGCGGCAGAATGCGGTAGAAATCCCGCACAGGGAGAGCTAGGGGGATGGAGCGTTGGGAGGGTCCCAACGTGATCCCGGGCTCGACAAGCTGTGGCACGCACTTTAATGAGAATCCTTTTTCAGGAAGGTCTGAAATGTGAAGTACCTTTAAATTCGTGAAAATCCGTGCGATTTTTTTCAATACCGGACCATAGCAACTCCACGACACCTCCAAAAGCTCCGTGCGCGTGAGCTGCACATCCGCGTCAAAGTCGAGATAGACAGATGGGGTCGGACCGTTGCCGCAGTAACGCTGGATCATCCCTTCGATCTCCTCAGTGCGGTCGAAACTGTCCTCTAGCCACTGTCGCAGTGCCGCTTTCTCGTCTGTATCAGAAATTTCGCCAACATATTCGCTAAACAGATCCACGAGGTAGGTTTTGCGCTCGTCCGTGTCTTTGCAAACCGCTCGCCAGAGTTGGCCGAAGATGGAATTGTATGCGAGGCTCGCAACGTTGGTCTGAATGATGCTCCGGAGGGATTTGTAAACCTGATCGCGGTAGTCGGTTTCGGTGGGGTCCAAAAATCGTTTCGCGAGGTCGAAGGTGTCAGAAGTCGAAGCACGCACGGGGATATTCGAAACATCCAAAGGCGATCGAACGATACGACGCAGCGCTTGTGTGTTCTGGGAGCGGGAATCACGCGAAGGAGGAAGATAGCCCCGACATCCCTCGTCTTCATTGGAAGGTTTGGGGTTCGCCAGAAGAGGGGATTGCTCAAAACGTAGCAAGACGGCAGACGAGTCGAGTAGAACTTGGCTCATGGTTGTGGTAGTGCGGCCCGTCCAATGAATAATTACGCCCAACGTCAGGCGAGAGATAACTGCCCTGTCTTTCTCCTCGGATTTCGACCCGATACAGATCCCTCCTGTCAGCTCAGCCAGCAGAACATAAAACGCAGAGAACTGAGGTTCCATGGACCGTGGCGTGAAGCAGAACACGCTACAATTTCGACGGCGGGCAGTGTGACACAGCTTTACCCAGTCGACTGCGCCAGTAGGGAACGCCTTCGCCTCCAGCTCGTCGTTTTGGACACTCTTGATAGATTTGTGATGGGGAGGGGCATCTGAATACCATAGCACAAGTGTCCTGGAGTGCTTGTCGGCGGCTTGCAAGGCGCGAATCAGTGCCGTTTTCGCGGCTTCCGGAAAGTCGCCCCCGCCCGTGTCATTCAGGTCGCGAACAAACTGCGAAAGGTCGGGTGCATTCCACCCTGACCAGGAAACGATCTCGGGCTCGGGATCGCTGTAGTCTTTGTACGCGAGAACACCAAGACGAGAGAATGCCCCTGACAGTCGCGCGAGCGCTAGGATTTCGGGAATCGATTCTCGCAACGCACCCAGATCTGTACCAAGTATAGAGCGTAAAACATCGGAGACAGACAATAAGTTGGATACGTACATCCACCCATACTGGCTGTGGCATCGGTTACGATGAGGAGATCGTACGTCGCTTTTTGAGGATCCGTGGTGGCCATGGTTGTGTGAGGAATATAAGACACACACGCGCGCACTCTATATAGACGTCGAGCGTGAGTCAGGAGATGTCAAAAGTTCTGACTCTGCTTCAATGTAGTGACGCCACGCCCAAGGCACGAGCCACACGCCGTCCATCGCACTACGCGCGCGTGGGCGATCCGTCCATAGTGCTGGATTTACAAGTAAGGTGTCGACGAATGTAGCCTTGAGGACTCCAGGAGCAGAAAATACATGGTGGTCATTAGTCACACATAGTCACACAAGTAGACCGGTGACCGTCTGTCTATGAAGGCGAGCCTGTCGATAGACAGACAAGCTTGCTTTCATAGACAGGCTGGATTCGAGCCTATCACACAAGCTCATGTGACGGCATGCACCTTGAACGAGTCATTTGACAAGAGAAAAGTGGTCTGACAGATTAGACAAGTGGCCTGACAGATTGCAAACAGTATTGTCACTGATGAGTCTTACGATGAAACGTCGCGCCTGTATTCCTCTCCAATATTGCAATACGATCGAGGTCGTCGTCGTCGCTCGCTCGCTCCTCCTCCGCCGGACCGCAATAAGATCGCTGTATGGGCATAATATCCAAGTAAGTGGCAGCCACGGCTCGAGTAAGTACCTCTCTGCATTCGAAATGTTAGATGTGTTGCTTTGGTGGGGTAGTGGTAACCTGGGTTGGCTATATTATAGAACTGTGGATCGTGATGCTCGACCCGCCGGGGGTTCGATTCCTCCCCAAAGCATGCGATCTCGGGGGGTGATTTTTTTGGCCGTTTCCCATCTCTCTCTCGTTTTTCTTGTCTTTCCCTTGCTCACTCTATACCAGATCATAGGTGAACGGGAGGCAGCACTGGCAGTCCAGCCGGAATTGTTAGAGATCCAGGAATAGCTACAGAAGGTTTTACTCAATTTTCAGCGAAATGGCACTGAACTCAGCAAAGTGGAGTCCAAGGTAGGCTCGAATCCAGCCTGTCTATGAAAGCAAGTTTGTCGATAGACAGGCTGGTCGATCTGAGTTTAAATTTCTAATACAAAATTATTACCAACAAAGGTTATTGCTGTATTAATCTTTTTCGGGAGCAAGTAGCAATAATATCTACCTAGGCACATTTACAACATCTCATGGAGTATATCCCGGTTTATCCGAAGGCAATCTGTAAATTTCTGGGCCGGCTAGCTCGAGATTCGTATGTTTTGTCTCTGTTTACTTGTGATGTCACCCACTCGGAAACGCGGTCCGGAATAACCTTTTTTGGTAATAATTTTGTATTGGAAATTTAAACTCAGATCGACCGGTCTGTCTATCGACAGGCTCGCCTTCATAGACAGACGGTCACCGGTCTAAGTCCAAGGAGCTCGAGGCAATCACGCAAGGCCTCCCAGTACAAATATGTATGAATTCATGTACAAGTCAAAGGGGGTAGTACTCGTGGCAATACGTAGTCGATGAGTCCAAAGTCGGGCTGCCAGTGGCTTTGTAAAAGTCCCAACATACGATGCAATCATACTGGTCGGCAAGTTCGCGTTCCAGAGTATTAGATATAAGAAACCAGATGCGATGAACCAGTCACGGACTTGACCAGTCCCGAAGAAAATTCTGCTGTTCCGTGCCAACGTAAATGTTCATTCCACTCATAGCCAAGTCGTACAACCCGTCCCAAGCGACGTCGCCGACGTCTGTCCACTTTTCAAAGATAAAGGAACTGTCACAGATGAGGCGCAAAGTCTGCAAGTTAACGGCGGCGTCGGCGTCGGCGTCAGGAGTGTAACGGGAGCACAGGGAGTCGAGGACTAGCGCATCCACAGTGAAGGATTTGCGCCTGCAGATGAGCACACGCAAGTGCGGAAGGAACTCGGGGTTGGTGGAGCGGTTGAGCGCGAGGAAGAGAGCGCGCATGAACACTTCTGGCGGGCCGCGCAGCCTGACCGTGGTGAGGTTGCGCATAATGCGGAACCAGTTCACCGAGATCGGGTCTGAATCGACGTTGGCAACGTAGTGCCACGAGTACGTGAGGTCCCGCAGGGATGCCGCCGAGCGAGCGGCGAATTCGGCAAATGGATCTCCTAATAAAGGCGCATCAGCGAGCATCAGAGTGCGCAGCGCCGGGAGGTCGAGACAACGCAGAAGCTCCGCGCGGGGGGGAACACAGTGAAACGTGTCGAGGTGGCGATGAGTGAGAAGTCCCGGAGGGAGTTCGGCGTGAGAGACATCGGTGAATTCACAACAGTTGCAGCAGATAAAATTTAATCTTGCCACGAGTTTCTAGCCCTTAGAAATTTAATTTTTGCAGAAGTTCCTACAGAACTTCTACTCCGCTGTGAGAGCCACAGATGCTTGACTAACAGATTAAACCAAGATTAATCTGCAGGGAGCAATGATCAGATTAAATAATTTCAAGTGTCGCATTCAGATTGATCTGCGCATGCAATTGCGAGAGATCAACTCTAGATTAATTTTAACTGTGATTAATCTATGCATTCGACATTATGCAGCACCCGTGAGTCTGATTTACGATCAGTAGGATTAAATCTACGAGACCAGAATTTAAAAAAAAAAAGAGCGGCGCACCGACCCACCCTCGGCCCCGCCGAACAACACGGCCCGTGTAATCCTGGGCCGGCCAGACGACAGAACGTTACCACCACGAACGCTGTGCAGCGTCTGCACCGCGCATCTACGCCCGCGGGAGACGATGACGCCGCGTGCGCGGCCGTCGCGGCGCTCCGGGACGCGCCCAAGATCCGAGCACATATTGGTAATGGTCGAGTCTGCGCGGGGCGTCGGTCAGCGGCCTACTTGCGAGCGCAAGATATACTGACTTTTGGCATACGTCTCGCCCGCGGGAATCCGGCGCTGTTCGTCGTCGCGATCGCGTTCGCGCCGTTGATGCCCGTGCCTCAATCTGCGCGGCACCTGATTTGTGAGTGTCACTGCGGCGGGGCGGGGAGACGTACCACGCATGGCGCCTTGATCCGAGTCATCGCGACCTCGGTGCGCCCGCGGCGCACGGGCTAGTCCGAGTCGTTCGCAGTGCTCGACCGCGGCGAAGGCGCCCATCGTCGGGGCGCGTACGAGGCTGTGCGTGGCCTTGACACTGCCCCTGCAGTGCGCGCTGTTAGCACGATCTCAGGCGGCGCTATTGCGCACTGGCACTCACTTGAATTTGCGCCGACACTGGGCGCGGTCTTCGTGTTCGCGGAATGCGGCGCCGCGCGTTATACGCCCTGATGCGCAGTCAGAATCTGACGGAGAAATAGACAAATGCTGAGGGGCACCTGGAGGACGTGGAAGTGAGGACTTGGAGGCGGGGGAAGGGAGGGGACTGGAGGAGGGAAAGTAAGAGCGATGTTTGGCTCTATTGTAGTACTACAATCAACACACCAGACGCGTCGCGTTCACGTGCACAAAACAAACGCGCGGTCAGATTAGGCGAGACAGGTGAGGTTCAATTTCATTTGACAGATGCCAGTGGCTTATTGATGGCTAGTGAGCCGAGCGTTGAGGTTCGGCTAGTGATTCTGGACCTCTCCGATGATTCCGGGGCCATCCCGGGCCGCAGCTGCTTTTTTTTTGCCCAGATACTAATGTCATAATAACCACGAGTCTACGAGCATTGCTACCACCGTTCGTGCTTTCAAAGCAGTTTGTTTTACACTTAAAATTGCAACGCCAATGTCAATGTTGTGTCAATGTGCGACATCGCGCACGTCGTGTCAGTCTAGATTGGGGTATGCACATAAGCAGCGACTCAGTATATTTCGGGGTTTGAATATGTGTTTGAATGATATTGCCGGTCACTTGTTGAGTCACACTGCGGCTTTCTTCCCTCCACCATCTTTATGCACGCCTTGGCCAACCTCAAGCCCACTCCCCACTCGACCCACTGGTAGATCTAGCTCACCCCCTCACAGAACCTCGGGGCCGACCGATGTCTGTAGCTGCCGCAGTCGTCCCCTTCGCAGACATTCCGGGCTCCTTCCAAGGCTCGCGAGCTACATGTACAGCGCTCAAGCCGGGTGAGTGCGGGCTGTGCCTGGCCCCCTTCCTGCATTGCTGACGCCCCGGTGACTGCAGCCCGACTGCCGTGCCACGTTTGCTAGCGCCACGTCCCGGCCAATACACCGATACGTCCCCGGCTGATAAATCCTTGATTAAACTGATTGTGGCGATTAATCCCACAGATCAATTCTCACTGTTCCGCGTCGCCTGCTCCGAGTTTGTCCCGCCTGTCCTGTCTGTTCAGAGGTGACAGTAAAGAGGCACGTCTGTCACTACTTTTCAAATTAATTTTTGATTTAATCATCTTTGCTTCACACACGATTAATCTCCCAAATGAAAGGTGTGTGCGCAACGTTGACTGGGATTACCCGCGGATTAATCGTAAGATTGAATTTTCCTCCAGTACGTGACCATAGTTGGCTCACTACAGTCCAGACGATTTTGTCCCCCCAGTAGGTGATTTAATTCGGGACTGGAACAGATTAATCTTGTCTGGCGCGTGCGTGAGTTCCTGGAGTTCTGTACAAATTTCTGCAAAATTTAATTCAGATTAATTGTGCGTAAGATTAAAATTTCCTCGTACGTGGCCATATTTGGCCTACTGCAGTCAGGATTGATTTTTTTAGTAGATGGTTTCGTTCGGGACTGGGATTAATCATGCCTGGCGTGTTTACGAGGGCCCAGAGTTCTGTACAAACTTCTGTAAAAATTAAATTTCTAAGGGATAGAAACTCCTAGCAGGATTAAATCTTATCTGCTGATATCACTGGAATTCACATTTCTGGAGGGCTGGTGAATCTGATAGGACGCGGTAACACTCCAAGGCGGTAAAGCGGTCTCCACTAAACGTTGTGAGCTGACTCCAGGGTAGTATAAGATGGTGGGGGCGAATTTCGAAGAGCAGGGTCACGTCGCGCAACTGCGGGGTGCTTTCAAAAATGCGCCATGCCGGACAGGTGCGGGAGATGGCCTGATCCAACACAACCGCTTCTAGTGCCGGAAACTGGATGGGTTCCAAAAGCCTGTGGAGATCGAGTGGATACAAGGAGAGTCGGAGGCTCACGAGCTGCGGTGCATGTCGATGGAGCACAGCGCTCATGTGCTCCCCATCCTTCCCGGTGGCATCTCCGTACAGACTCAAAGTTTTCGGAGTAGCGCAGGCGCAAGTTGGCCACTGACCGAATGTCCTTGGAAGAGGATCCGATGTAATCTGGCGTTTAAAGCCTTTGAATGAGATGGCGAGCGTCGTCCAAAGCGAAGGGGTGGAGAGGGCGATAGCTCTCCAAGCTCTGCAAATGTGCAGAAGCAGCAAGGGAGCTTCCGTGGGAGACAGCGACCTTGGATTAGTGTGTTTCGTCAAGAGTTTTTCGAAGATTTCGACCGTGATTTCGGTAGGCAGAGTGAGGACCGGATAGATGATGTTATTGAGCTCGAGCTTCAGGCTTTCATGGCGTTCCTTCATCTCGTCAGGGATATCGGTACCCTTGGACACGTAGCTATCGATATCCATCTCTATGTCCGCTAGATCTCGGCGCAACTGGTGGGAGACCATAACGACGGTGCCGTAGGCGATTCTAGTCACGTGGTTTTCGGAATGGTGTCACGTGCGTCTGTCTGGGGATTGCAGTCACCCTGCCGCGGCCGAAACAATTTGGTTCATGGGTTTCACTTTGCTAAACATTTGAAACTGAAATACCTCGATCAGGTTTGTCTCGCCAGCGTCCACGTCGCTATACCTAGTTT